GTTTTTTGAGACAGGGTTTCTCTGTAACAACCCTGGCTGACCTGGAACTCACAGAGATCCAGCTGCCTCTGCCTCCCAAGTGCTGAGATTAAAGATATGCGCCACCACCACCTGGCTTGTGTCTTTCTCTCTTACAATGCTTTTTAAATTACAACAGAGGCCAGCCTGGTATACAGAGTAAATTCTGGAACAGCCAGGGCTTCACAGAGAAACCCTGTCTCAAAACTTAAAAAATAGGTAACCTCAGTGTTCTTTTTTAAGAGTTAAAAAATTGGTCAGATGAGTAGAATTCTGTTAAACAACACTGAGTAACAAACATTTCAGACTGACGGGATTAGAAGGCTCGAGAACAGGAGATGGTTCATCTTTGCTATGTTCCCCTAAAGGAGATGCTGTGTGGTTTAAAATAAATAAATAAATAAACATAACATGGGAAAGCTCAGTGGGTAAAGGCACTGACAGCCTGAGTTTGGTCCCCAGCATTCACATGATTGGAGGATGAAACCAACTCCAGAGACCCCAGAACATTGTCCTCTGACCTTCACATGAGTGAAGAGGTATATGCATGCTTCATAAACACATACACACTGTGTGTGTGTGTGTGTGTGTGTGTGTGTGTGTGTGTGTAAAAATTAAACAATACAACATAAATAAGGAGCTGGAGAGGTTGCTCAGAAGTTAAGACTACTGGCTGCTCTTTCAGGGGACCTAGATTCAATTCCCACTGGTGGCTCATAACTGTCTGCAACTGTGGTTCCAGGTGATCTGATGTCTTCTACTGGACTATGTGGGCACCATATGCAAGTGAGTGCAGGCAAAACACTCATACACATAAAAAAGGAAAAAGGAATAAATAAACTCATACTATAGAAAGATGAGAGAATAGACTATTGACAAAATAATATTTATTAAAAATATGTGATCTTTAGATCAAAGGAGGTTAAATAAGTATCATTTGTTTACAACTCAGTAATAAAGAGTAAACTTCAAACAAGAATTTGTATTTACATGAAAAGTATCTATAAATAAAATCTATATCCTACTTATAGAATTTAAATCTAAAAACCCACAAGGCATGGTGGCACACACCTTTAATCCCAGCACTGCAGAGGCAGAGGCAGCTGGATCTCTGTGAATTTGAGGCCATCCTGTTCCATGAAGCAAGTTCAAGGCCAGGCAGGGCTACATAGTGAGGCTCTGTCACAAAACAAAACAACAAACAGATAAAAACCCAAAACTACTCTTAGAGTGAGAATATTTTATACATATGAAAGTTATAACACCCATCATCAAACTGTGAGAACTCTGTTTTCAATCTACAATATCTCAAAACTATTCAAAATAAATAATTATGTGATAAAACATTTGTAGATTCCAATAAAAATAATGAAATACATTAAAGTTTTCTATTACAAATATATGGCTCAAATGCTATATTTTGAAGGTAGTTCTCTCCTCATCTGAGCCCTGAGGTGCCTCCTTCAAATGGCCTGAGACTGGGGAGACGAATGATAGGAATCCACAGGGCTGCTGCCTTGGGGAGATGGGGCTGAGGACATTTGGGATAACAATTAGATGGTGCGGCTGAGTAAAACCACCCCTGAGGAATCCTGATTTCTTCTTTCCCCCCCAGAGGCTCCTACAAGTGTTCCCACTCCCAGGAGCACAGTGTGGTGATTCCATTCCACTCCTTCTAGAAGAGTCTGGGTTCCTCTAGTTTCCTGTGGAAGGCAGTCCTCTCTCCTCTCCCCCAGCAGTCAGTCCTTAAAGTTGGCAGAGTATCTCCCTCAGGCAGGGATCTAGAGGGAAGAGGGAGGCCATGTCAGACTTCATACATGCAATTCTTCAAGCATGAACAAGAGTTATGTCTGAAGGTCTGAAGTCAATCCTAACTAGAGGTTAGAACATTTGACAAATGGGAACTTATCTTGATCCTTCTTTCCTTTGTCTATTTGTTCTGTGGTGCTCAGGGTCAGACACTGGGGCTCCTGTGTGGTGGGGAAGCGCCCTGCCACAGAGCTACCCTGGCTCTTGACCCTTCATTCTTGGTAATTGGCGTTTCATTGTTTGGGAGATGTTTTTGAAGTGTGGGTGGGGAGGTGGGGGCTGAGGGCTTGGGGAGGGGGTTGTCCATGTGGGTGCAATACCAGAGGAGGTCAAAGAGGCTATCAGATTCCTGGAGCTCGGGTTACAATCCATTGTGAGCCAGGCATTTCATCCTCTGCAAGAACAGCAAGTGCTCTTCACAGATGAGCTGTCTCTAACCCGGACCTTGTTCTGAGGCAGGCACTCCCATGGCTGGCTTTAGGATGGGCCTTGAACAGTTAGTGGGCCTCCTGCGTCTGCTTCCCGGGTACTGAGGTTACAGCTTTCACAGCCCGGCCTGGCTGATCTTGATTCTTAACCCCTAACCCTAAAGCATCATTTTCAAGTGTGATTTTCAGACTAGTTGGCCTAGATCCCCAGAGTCATGTAAGCTGTCTAATGTGGGCCCAGCACCCTGCTTGACAGAAAGGACCAGAGGAGACTTAGTCTAGTGGTGTGGACTAGATTCTCAGAATATGGCTTTAGATGAATTCTCACTTTACTCCTCTTTGGTCACTTGTTTTAAATTTTTTTTAACATTTATTTACTTACTTATTTACTTATTTACTTATTTATATATACAAGTGTTCTGTCTGCACATATGCCTGCATTACAGAAGAGGGCATCAGATCCCATTATAGATGGTTGTGAGCCACTATGTGATTGCTGGGAATTGAACTTGGGACCTCTGGAAGAACAGCTAGTGTTCTTTACCACTGAGCCACCTCTCTAGCCCCTTGTATTAAATTTTTGTTGTCATTTATTTATGGGGCAGGTGTGTGCAACAGCAATAACAGCAGAGGCCAGAGGACAATTTTCAGGAGTTGATTATTTCCTTCTACCATGTGGGTCCCAGGGGTTGAAATTTCATGGCAGCAAGTACCATTACCTGCTGAGCTATCCCGCTAGCTCTTCAGTTACTTTTTGTGAGAGAGAGAGAGAGTGGGGGGGGAGCCCTTGGGTGCTATTCACTCTTTTTTTTTTTTAAAGATTTACTCCCTTTTTATTTTATCTGGGTGTTTTGCCTGCACGTGTGTTTGCACCATGTGCGTGCACTGCTCTTAGAGATCATAAGAGGGCGCCAGACCCTGTGAACTGGAGTTACGAATTATGAGATACCACATGGATACTGGGAATCAAACCTGGGTCCTCTGGAAGAGCAGCCACTGCTCTTAACTGCTGAGCCATCTCTCCAGCCCCCAACTGACTTTTGGAAACAGTCTCTCACTGTCCTAGCCCTCACCAATTCATTAGGCTGGTTATCCAGCCAGGCCCAGGAATCTGCCTCTCTCTTCCTCCCCAGTGCTGGGATTACAAGCACATGACACAGTGCCAGGCTGTTTTTGGCATGGGTTCTAGGCGTCAGCTCCTCATGCTTGCAAGGTAGGCACTTAGCTGACTCATCTATCTCTCTAGTCCTGGGCCTTTGAAGGTTATACACACTCAAGGTTCCAGGCTCTTGCTGCATCCTGTTCAACCCTTGGAAGATCCTCACACCACAGACAGAACTACTTGGCCATGCCTCATCCATCATGATGGTCTGAAACTGTGGGACAAAAAAAACTTCTCTTCAGCTGGGTGTTGGTGTCGCACGCCTTTAATCCCAGCACTTGGGAGGCAGAGGCATCTCTGTGAGTTCGAGGCCAGCCTGGTCTCCAGAGCAAATGCCAGGATAGGCTCCAAAGCTACACAGAGAAACCCTGTCTCGAAAAACAAAAAAAAACAACAAAAAAAAAAACAAAAAAACAAAAACAAAAACAAAAACCCTTCTCTTCAATTCTTTCCATGACACCAGAGTGTCCCCAAGGGAACTCACGAAGGTGGTCCTGAACGCTGGAGCAAACTTGAATGCAGTTGGTGGCTGGGACAATGGCTCAGCGGATACACTGGCTATTCAAGTATGAGGACTGGAGCGTGGATCCCCAGAGTCCACATAGAAGCCAGGCGGGCCTGGCAGCCACATGCAACCCTGATACACAATAGGCACAGACAAAGCTCTCTAGAGAACATGGGCTAACTAGACTAGCTGCCATTGACAGTTCTGGGTTCAACAACTCACTATACCACAATAAATAAAGCAGACAGCCATCAAGGGAGACACTCCACATTAAGAGCTGCCCCCATAGATGTGCATCACATATATACATACATATGCACACTACACATGTACACACTCAGAAAACATGAGAAACAAGTGTAAATTACAGAGGCAAGGATTTGCAGAGCTGCAGAACATGCACAGTGAACAGAAACCCATATTTTCTCAAACACATTTGGACCCAGTTGCTTGAAGTAGAAGGATTTGTACCAATTCAAGTCTTTGTGACAAAAATGTCCATTTCCAAAGTCAGCTGGCTGGCCTCCAGGTACATAGCCTGTCTCCCTCCTGGTTGTCACCTCTGTGTATGCCGTGATAGGGAGGGTCCCGCTGTGTGTGGCTGAGCTTTCTCACAGTATAGACTTAAGTGTGGGATGTGAGTGTGTCAAGTGTGTGTGGAGTCTGTGCTTTTCCTATTAGACCACAGACAGATGCACACACTTTTTTAAAAGACACCAAGGACTTACCTATCTCAGGCCAATGACCTCAGGCCTCCATGGCCCTAGGGTTGTAGGTCAGGTTGGTGCGATCTCGTGCCCACACCCACAGCTCAGGGTTGTAAGCCTGGATCTGGAAGGGGGAAAAAAACAGTTCCATGAACAGTTACTGACTTCTGGAAGACTCCACATCCTTGGACTCACCTTCCAGGTCTTCTATTCCCCAATCCCACCTCCCACATTCAAACACATCCCTCTGTCTGTCCAGCCTGTCGTCCTGCAGACCACATGCCTCACACCCACCCACCTCTTCACACTCCTCCCGAGACACCCAGATCCTCCAGCCCATGGATCGAATGAACTGGAACCGCAGTTTGTGGAATGCGGGGCGCTGGGCATAGCTCTTCCCATAGAGGAAGTAAAAAATGTCTTGTTTAGGGGCCTGGTTGTCCTCCTCCATGTCATTGGCCAGGTACCTGGGGAAGAAATCAGGGTGTTATATGGTTCTTTACCAAGGAGGATCCAAGAGGGAGGTGGGGGGCATGTCATTCCTGGATGGTATCAGTCCTGTCCAGCGTGATGGGCGAACCAGCCCACTGTGTACATTGGCTATCTGGAAGCACCTGCCACATGGAGCTGAGGATGACCCTGCTGTTTTCGACACGAGATGACCTCAGGGTTCCCTTCTCCATCATTTCCGTCTTCCCCAGCTTGCATGTTGTGCACACAACCGCGTCAGCTCAGGCTCAGCACCTAAGGGTTGGGCCTGACCCTGGCTTCATTCCCTTCTCTTCCTCTCCTTTCAGTGGCTGGCACAATCAACATTTCTAGGTTCTCTCCTTCTATTGCCTCATGGGATAGACAATGCACTTTGTAGGGTTTGTTGAATGAATTGGTGAACAAGTGAATGAATGAATGAATGAATGAATGGGTGACCAAATGAAAAGTGATAGTTAAGGCAAAATGTAATACTGATAACGTCACTGACTGAGTATAACAGAACCACTCCAACATAAACAGAAATAAGGTGTCCCAAGAATGGCAGGATATTTGACAAGCCCCCACTGTCAACAGGTGCACTGTAATAGGACCCAGGAAAATGAGGGGGCAACACCAGAGACTATAATCCTAAATACCCTACCATGGTGGGAGTCCATTCCAATACTGCTAGAGGCAAAAGCCAGATCAAGGAAGGCACTGGGTGGGGGGATTGCCCATTTTCTGTTTGATTTGAAATGTCCTGCTATATGGTCCAAGTTGTCCCCAAATGCCTGAGCTCAAGAGATCCTTCCACCCCAGCCTCCTGAGCTGCAGGAGGCTCTTTGTCACAGATTGGTTTCAGAGTTTGGACTGACTTTACGGGGAGTTAACTGTCTCCAGGCACACAACTGTGAGACACTCACACAGAAAACACAAGATCAGATCAAGGACAGGGCAATGGGAAAGAGCCAGCCAGGAAGGGAGTGAGGATGAGGGGGCTGGGAGCCAGATTGCAGAGCATCTGGGCAGAGGGCAGAGTTCACACTGGGCACTCCAGCCTCGGGGTGGAGAGTAATTCCTGGTACAGCCCTCTGGATGCCTGGGAGGGTGTTGTCTGTGTTTTCAGACAAAACACACCCACTAGAGGGGTACAGGCTGGTAAGAAAAAACATCAGGGAGCATCTTACAAGGGACTGACTGGTGCTGCTTCATGAGGCCTGAGATGGACAGCTGTCATGGGGCCCAGGGGAGAAGATGGGGTGGTGTCTGATGTGCTCAGCACAGAGGAAGACAGTAAAGGAAGTGCTGCACCTCAGTCTTTGGGGACACTTTAACTCCACCATCCTCTCCTGTCAGGAGGGCTCTGTGTGTTACAATGCAGACACATAGGGTCGCACCCTCTCCTCCCACTCACTAGCAAGCAGCCCTCCGAGAGTTCATCTTGAATCTCTAGCTTTCGAGTACCCAGATTTCTCAGTTCTCCAAGTGAGTTTTCAGGCTCTCTACTGGTGGGCATGCATCTCTCCCTCCATCTGTCCTGCCTCTCCACGGCTACACAGAGAAACATGATCTCAAAAACCAAACCAAGCTCTCTGCTTCCTCTTTTTACGCCACTTCTCTGCTCTCTGTTTCTTCTTGGCTCTCTCTCACCTACACGCACTGTCTGCCTCTCTATGGTGACCGGCCATGGCGGTCAGCCATTACCCCTGTTCCTCTTCTTTCTTAGTCTCCCTACTCTGCTGGGCCTATAATAAAGTAGTTAACATGTCTCATCCGCTTCTTTTCCTCTTTTTAAATAAAAACATAACATTGGTGCCGGACTTGGTTTAGGCTCTCTCTGTAAACTCTGTTGCAGCTTGCTGGTGGGATAGGCTTTCTCTGTAACATCTCGTGCCATGGGCACTGGAAATTTCGGGGATCCTAAAATCTGAACTCATAACCCACTTCCATCCTGGCTTTTCCTAGCACTTCCTCCTGCCTGCAACAGCCTAAGATGCCGGAACTCTTCAACTCGCTACTTTTCCAACTAAGGATCTCTGGAACTCACTCATCTGCCTGTTCACTGCAATCTGCTAAGATATCCCTTTTCCCATGAGGCAGACCCAGCACTCCATTTTGGAGTTCACTGCCTTTGGTCTATTGGGTCCATTTTTCAATTTCAGCCTCGTTGGGGCTTTCTGCCGGGTGATCTCAGACAGAGCAATCTGCGCCATTTTTGGCCTCGCCCACGGGAAATACATTTTACAGGACGTTTTGGTTACTGCCAGTGAGTAGGTAAAAGAGCAGAGTTCTGCCTCCCAGTGGGAAATTTCTTTCACCTGCCCTGGGAATGTCCCTCATCTTCTGTTCTATCTCTGACCCTGTTTCTTCTTGGTTGGCAGTGTCTGCTTGAGTTTTTTTTGTTTTCATTTTTCCACACAAATGAGGTTTGCTGTGGTGTCTCTGGTGTCCTATTGGTTTCACACATCTTACTGCCTCACTCATGGAGAAAAACTTCTTCCGGCAATTGAGACTGTGCTTACGGGGGCCGCCATCCCGGCCATGTGGGCTAACCTGGAGGCTGTCATCTTGGTCGTGTGCCATCCTAACCACGTGACCTGGCTTAGGCCTGCCCACTCAGTTCAGTGACTTGCACAGGCAAGCACTACCACCACACAGCTTGCTTTTTATTTTTTCTTTCACTTGTTGGGTGCATTTCCTGAGGGTCAGGCATGGGATCCCGCTCCAGGAACGGTGCTTTTTCAGTTCAGACCTCTGGGTCCTTTTTTCAGTTTCGGGGCAGCTGTGTCCCCTTCGGGACCAGGCCCCTGGCAACTTCCCCTGGGCCGACGTGCATCGGAAGAGGAGCTTTTTGCCGGTTTTCCACTTGCCTCACCCATGGGAAATGCATAGAGGAACCTTTCTGGTTGCAGCCAACAAGAAGGTAAACAGACAAAAGAGCGGCTTATGGACGCCGCCATCTTGGCCATATGGACTGACCTGGGGGCTGCCATCTTGGTCATGTAACCTACCTGTAGGCACGCCCACTCCAGTAGCCTGTGCCAGCAAACCTGTCTGCCGGATTTTTGATTTCTGCCAGATCTTTTTTGTTTTTTATTTTATTTTATTTTTTTGTCTGTGATTTCTTCTTTAACTGGCCCTGTTGCTCATGGCTTGCTTACAGAATACTGTGTCTTTCCAGGGCCCTCTGTTTAAGTCTACTCTGTCCCTTTAAATCTCCTGTCTGTTTGCTACAATGTACGGACCAGAGATTGCATTCTAGTTCTCCCTTTACTGTTATCCAGTCCTGCTTGTCTCTGTACCTATAATTTAATTTTATACTTATCTAACTCTATATAAAACTTAAACTGTGCTAAGTCTCATATTTCTAAATTGCTATGTATCTTTAAAACGATGGTAAATATTTAAAGTCATAAAGGTCTAATTTAACTACACTTAAAATATAAGCTAAGTCTATACAACTTAAATTTAACTCATGTATCTTTAAATGATGATCAAAGTTTAAAATCCTAAAGGTCTATTTCAAATTAACAAAATATTTATGCCACTCAGTTCATCCTATAAACCGTTTACAAAGGTACAGCTTTTATTACAAAAAAGGGATTTTTCTCTAACTAAAGGCAAACTTTTGACTGCTGAGATACTAAACAGAAAGACAGTCCTCACATTCACAGAGATCTGGCAGACATGGCATTTAAAATGTTTTGTTAAAAAGCTTTTTATAACAGAGAGATAGGCCAGCTTCTGGCTCCACCCCATTTCCACCAAGAAGACTTGCGCACTGAAGAAACTTCATCTCAAGTCTCAACACTGGTCACTGAGCAACCCTGCCCTTCACCTCAACTGCTACAAAGTATTCCAGACCGTGGACAAGAGGACAGTGGAATTGACTTTCCCCGCATTGCTTGAGTCAACGGTAGGCGAGTCTTCCTATAGTCTGTAATCCACGGGTCACATGCTATCAGCAAGAAGGCAGGTGTCCTGCAGCCCACTACTATGGATGGAGGACCTTGGAGATGGCTGTCCATGCAGCCTGCTGGCAAGTCTCTGTTATTCTTTAATCGTTGATTCAGGAAAAATACTATCCTTCTCAAGAGCTCTGATGCTTTTGACGACAAGTAGTCTTGCCAGCTTAAAGCAAAACAGATTTCATGAACAAGTATTTTAGGGTTTATCTATGTGAAGATAGGAAAATGTAAGTTATGAAGGTCTGAGGATGGAAAGGTCTAACACGGTGGATAAATGCAAGTTATGAAGGTCTGAAAATGGAAGGTATAAAGGTCTGAAAATGGAAGGTCTAAGATGGTAATGTAAAGTGTGTGAATTAAAGTTATAAAGGTCAGAGGATAAAAAGGCTTAAGTGATGATAAAGTGAGTTGAGACATTAAAAAGAGTGAAATTTGTTCCTGATTTCTCTATTTCTCATGTTACTGTTCATAGTCAGTTCTACAAAACCACTGTACGATCATAACTACTAAGTCAAGATTAAGATGCTTTTCATTCTCTAAAAAAAAAAAAATGTCAATTTTAAAATGGTAATGCTTTCAGCCAAGTTGCTTCTAACAAGAATATGCTGCTAATATGTCTAATACTTTTGTTTCCACAAACTCTAAGGATTCTTATAAGTTACAGGGAGCTGAATTGGATCCAAACAAACAGATCTAAGAGGTGCCAGGAAGTTCCACACAGCCTGGACTGCAATGAAACAATCAGCCACCCCAGGACGTGGCAGCACCCCCACCTTCTCAGGTCCCCCAAAGATGGTCAATGCCCCCCACATCAGCAGGAAGCAGTTTTGAGAATTCGACGCCCTTATTCCTAACCCTGCCATGTCTAACACCCCACCTTTTTAAATAATAAGTAGAGGTGGGAATGAAAGGTTCAGGCTTAGATGCTGATCGGCTCTACCTCTTTAAGAGACAGACCCTGCCCCCTGACAACAGTCAGGGCGCGCACTAGAAAAAGAGCTACATCATCACCACATCACCTGCCATGCATGAGGACTCTCTCTGGGCATGCGTGGAACCTCAGCGTGCATGCGCAGTCTTCCCTTTAAAAGCTCCAACTTTCCTGCTTCACGCTCTCTCTGCTTTCTCTTTTTTACGCTGCTTCTCTGTTCTCTGTTTCTTCTTGGCTCTCTCTCACCTACGCACGCTCTCTGCCTCTCTATGGCGACCGGCCATGGCGGTCAGCCATTACCCCTGTTCCTCTTCTCTCTTAGTCTCCCTACTCTGCTGGGCCATATAATAAACTAGTTAACATGTCTCAAAACAAAACAAAACAAAACAAAACAAACAGAAACAGAAGAGGAAGAAGAAAAGGAGGAACAAGGGGGGAGGGAGAGGAAGGGGAGAAGGAAGAGGAGGAGGAGGAGGAGAAACAGCAGCAATCACTCCAGATCGCCTGCCCCCTTTAAACCCAAATCCCAGGTCTTTCGCTGTTTCCTCTTGCTTTTGAGTTATTTTATGCTGTTACTTTATCTCTGCATGGGTGTTTTCCCTGCATGTATGCCTGTGTACCATGTGCATGGCTGGTGTCCAAGGGGGCCAGAAGAGGGTTTCAGAGCCCTTGGAAGTACAGTTACAGACAGCTGGGAGCTGCCATGTGAATGCTGAGAATCAAATCCAAGTCCTCTGGAAGAGCAGACAGCTCTTTAACTCTGAGCCACCTCTCCAGCCTCTTGTTTAGTTTTTCAGTGTGTGTGTGTGTGTGTGTGTGTGTGTGTGTGTGTGTGTGTGTGTGCACGTATGTGTGTGTACATGTATATACATGAGTGTGTGTGTGCATTTGTGTTGCATGTACACATGTGGGTTTGTAGAAGCATGTTTGTCTGTGTGGGAGCCAGAAGTGAACATCAGATATTGATCCTCGGGAACCATATACCTTGTTTTTTTATATAGAGCATTTCCCTGGGACATAAGTCTGTCTTGCCAGTGAGTCTAGGCTGGCTTGTGAGGAGTCCCAGGGATCCTGATGACTCTTTCCCCCAGCATTGGATAACAAGCACGTGCTACTACCCCTGGCTTTTCATTTGGGCTCTAGGGATCTGAACTTGGGTCCTAATGAATGTACCGCAAGCTCTTTACCAACTGAGTCATCTCTCTGGTCACTTGCTCCATTTTTTTAAATGGACATTAGCTTGTTTTCCCTCATAAAACTACAAAACCAGGTATATGAGAGACAAAAGGTCAGAGGCTCACTTCTCATGACCCAACATCCAGGGCAGGGGACAGTGACCAACAGAAGGAGACAAAATACTCACAGAGCCAGGAAGAAGTGGATTGGCCTATACTGCCAGGAGAAGAGCCCAGCACGGCTGAAATAAGCTATGACCATAGACAGGAGGTACTGATGGAGAGAGGAGACGGGAAAGGAGATGTCACCCCCTGGAGAGGAAGAGTCTAGGGACAGGGGAAGGGGAGGCTGAGGTGGCATGGGGCTCAGAGTGGATCCCTGAGTTTTGGGTGCCTGCTGGAGTGAGGAAGGAAGGGTGAAGGGGCTTTCAGACAAGCCAGGCCAGAGCGAAGAGGTGCTTGCTGCTCCAGCATGGCTGGCTCTGTGTCAGTTCTGAGGAAGGGCTTGGGACAACAGGGACAAGGAGGTCTTTGCCCCATGAGAACAAAGGGTCCCAGAGAGCTGTGAGGAGAGAAGAGGCAATTCCCGGGGTAAGATGGTGACCATGGACTCAGATTCCAAGGACCCCAGTGAGGCACAGGCCTCCTGTCCACTCTGTGAGACACTACCGGGCCCTGAAGAGAGACCCTGGCAGGGTAACAAGGGTCAGGACTGTGTGGCTTCAGGGGGCACTGTGGGTCAGGGAGGCCCCTCCCCGGGCAGGACAGGATCTGGAGCCCAGCTCAGCGCACCTTATCAGACACTCTCAGTGTCGTGTCCCAGGCCAGGAATTTTTTCACCACAGGATCCTCTGTGAACAAAGCACATGTGTCATGGTGTGATGGGGAACAGCTGGGAGAGAGAGCCAGGAGAACGGCCTCCTGGGGTAGGGTCAGGTCAGAACCTGTGGTTGGGCACAGGAGTAAAGGATGTAGTGGGTGCAGTGGCAGAGATCCCACCTGAACCTCCTGGGACAAGGCTCTGAGAGAGACTTAGAATACAATGGCCTGTGTACACACTTAGCTGCCTTTTATGGGTATGTCACTCTGGGATCGATGCAAGGTCTTGCATATGCTGGACAAGAGTCCACACTGAGCTCCATCCACAGCCACAGACCAAGATATTCAACAGCTGATTTTCCCATTTGATGTCACATGAGGCTATGAACATGGATATGTTGCCCTTGTGTGGGCAGAGACACCCCCAGCTCAGCAAAGTTGAAGCTAAGTTATAGCTGGGGTGGTGAACTCTCTCATCCCCAAGTGGATCTATGTCAACTCTAGCCTAAGCCCCTGCCACCCATGGGTCCCTGAGAATCAACTGAGTTGTGGTGGCAGCTTTCCCATGGGGAAGGAGGTTGACTAGAAGTTCTCTTTTTTGCCTAAGGAGGGAGCCAAGTAGGTGTCACCTACCCAGCAGCCTGGTGAAGACCTCATGGTGTTCAGGTCTCACTATAGACAAATGCCGCCTTTTCAGCTTCATCCTGAGCCCACTCAGTGTCTCCACTGACCACACTGGCTCGGGATCAGGTTCTAGCAGCTCTGCCAGGTTATCCTCAGAATCCGATGACAAGTCCCTTTTCCTCTTTGGGCTGGCGGATGGAGGCGGGGGTCCAGCTTCCTCCCTTGGTTCTAAGTGAAGAAACCACACCCCCATGATGCCTCAGGCTTTGATGATCTCAGCCCTACCCCACAGGACCCCCAAACACCCCAGACATCCCAAGTCTCTTCAGCTTCAGCCTTTCCCCAAACCATCGTGCTATTTCCCTCTGTGCTGAGCCCCCTGCCCCTCATCTTGTCCCATCCCCTCTCCCTTTTCCTTAAGACTCTTCCTCATTAGAGTAAATCGTCCCCATAAAAATGAAGTCTCTTCTTGTGTCCTTTCTTCTCTGTCCCATCTTTGACTCTTGGTGCCTAAGCCCTTCCCTGTTCTGCAGATTTCCAGGCCATGTGACACCTGTGTCTGACCCTCTGTCCTTCCTGACTCCACTCCTGCCTCCTGGGCCCTCCTTCCTTTCTTTAGCGTGCTTCCTCCTTGCTGTCTGCCTCACACATCTCTTCTCACCCAGTCCCCTCACATGTTGGTCCTGAGATCCCCCTACCAGGTAAGGGCCTGGTGATGCCAGGCTGAGGACTCTGTTCCTCAGAACACAGTGACAGTTGGCCAGCGGTCACGATTCTCCCAAGCTGTTTCCTCCCTTCCACGGATCCCAGACTCTGATCTATCCCACCCTCCTCCTGGACTCTGACTGAATCCACACATGATGCGCCTTCCTTTATGTGAGGAGATCTTAAGAGTGTAGCTCTGGGAAGACACTGTTGTCCATTGGACTGCCTAGCCCCAGGGAGTATGGCCCTTCATAGAAAGAGGGAAGAAAACTGTGACATCATCAGCTTTTCAACCTGAAAACCAGCTTGAAAGAAAGCTTGTGTAACTTATGGATTAATGTGTCCACTTTCTGTCATGATCTAGGGTTGACATGTCTCCTGCCACTGACCTAGACTCAAAACCATCTTCCATGTCTGGGTCCTACTTTTGTTTACTGCAACCTTTGATGCCTGTGTAAGCATGGAGACCTGGGAGGGAGGCTTAGGCAGGGTATCCATCCCTCGTTTCTCCACACCTTGTTGGGTCTGCAGCTCTGCCCTAGCCCTGATCTTGGTGTGTGGTTGTCTCCGACTACTACAGGAAGCATATTGTAAAAGCCAGGGCTGGGGATCAAGGCAAACACCATTCATGCCTTCACTTTGATCTTCAAGGCATCATACACATGGCTGACACTGGAGGCATGGTCATGTTTCATCTTTTTGTCACTTAAACTTATGGGGCTGGAAAGATGGCTCAGTGGTTAGGAGCACTGATTGTGTTTCCAGAGGACATGGTTTAATTACCAGCACCCACATGGTAGCTCACAACCATCTGTAACTCTACTACCAGGAGGATCTGAAGCCCTCTTCTGGTCTCCAAGGGTACTGCACACATGTGGTATGCAGTCATACAATCAGGCAAAACACACATATAAAATAAAATGAATTCTTTTTAATTTATGTTTTGCACATGCTTATGTGTGGAGACACATATATGTGCATGTAGAGGTAGACATTGGGTATCCTCAATGGCTCTTCACCTTATTAAACATTTAAAATTTATTTTATTTGGGGCAGGGTTGGGCAGGTGCAGAAGTCAGAGGCAGACTTCTGGAGTCATCACTCTCCATCACGTGGGTCACAGGCTCAATGTTAAAACAGTCCATCAGGTATGGCAACAGGTGCTTTACCCATTGAGCCATCTTGACAGTACTTCACCTTGTGTTTTTGGGACAGAGTTTAATACGGAACCTGCAGCCTGATGATTCATCTAGACTCACTAGCTGGCAAGTACAGGAGGGTCTCCTATTTCCATCTCCCCACCTCAGATTACAGCCCCAAGCCCCCTCCCTTGCTTTCTTTTTTGTTTTGGGGGGACAGGGTTTCTCACTCTGTAGCCTCACTCTGTAGACTGTCTGGCCTTGAACTCACAGAGATCCACCTGCCTCTGCCTTCTGAGTGCTGGAACTAAAGGTGTGTGCCAACACCACCCAGTCTTTAAAAAACAAAACAAAACATGGGTTCTAGGAATTTGAACTCCGATCCGAGCGCTTGCATGACAAGCACTTTACTCACTGAGCCATCTTCCTAGGCCCTGGTTATCATTTTTCCTTCACTGGGAGAATATAGGAGCTGCCATCTCCTGGAAGTCACAGGGAGAAGTTCCAATTATGTGCAGGATGGGTCCCCACAGTGGATGGGCTGGGGGGGGGGCAAGAGGAGTGAAGTTGTGCACTCACAGGTGAGAAGGACCAGTACTTACGATTGGAGAAAGCGAATTTAGATGGCATGGCACACAGAGGAAAGCTCCAGGACCTGACCATCCATGTGGTTACCTGCAACGGGAAAACAATTTAGTTCAGGGCATTGTTGCTGATCTAGAGGTAGAGCATGAGGGAAGCTGATGAAGAAGGGGTCGGGGACTGATATGACGACATTCCACACAGCCCTGTGAATGTGGGAGCAAGTCCCCACATGCCTAGCCTAAGCAAGTCCCCCAAACAAGATTCCGAATTCAACTGACCATGATGACACACACCTGCAATCCCAACACTTAGGAGGCTAAGGTAGGAAGATTGCTGTAAGTTCCAGACCAGCCTGGGCTACAGAGCGAGACCTATTTCAAAAACAAATCATATTGGGGGGCACCAGACAGTTTTCTTAGTTGGCAAATTGTTTGCTGCACAAATCTAAGAACCTGAGTTCAATCTTCAGCACCCACATTAAAAAAACGAAAAACCCAGGTACATAGCATTTGCCTGTAGTCCCTTGCTGGGGAGGCAGAGGCAGGAAGAACTCTGGGGCTCACTGGCTGTCCAGTCTAGCAGAATCAGCAAGCTCCAAATTAAAAAATGCTGTGAAAGGTTGGGGATTTAGCTCAGTGGTAGAGTACTTGCCCAGCGCTGGGTTGAAGCTCCAGAAAAAAAGAAAGAAAAGAAGGCAGAGAGTAATTGAGGAAGACATCTGACCCCAGGTCTATACACACACACACACACACACACACACAGAGAGAGAGAGAGAGAGAGAGAGAGAGAGAGAGAGAGAGAGAGAGAGAGAGAGAGAGAGAGAGAGAGAGAGAGAGAGAGAGAGAGAGAGAGAGAGACAGAGACAGAGACAGAGACAGACAGACAGACAGACAGACAGAGAAAGAGATAGACAGACACAGAGAGAAACAGAGACAGGGACAGAGAGACACAGAGACAGAGATAAAATGGGGGGAAAGTCAGTAATGAACTGATGGGCAGTCTTGGAATGGATATGTTTTTTGATTGTTTGTTTTTTATGTATATAGATAAATTGTCTGCACACCAGAAAGCATCATCAGATTCCATGGGACTACAGTTATAGATGTTTGTGAGCAACCATAAGCGTTCTGGGAACTGAACCCAGGACCTTTGGGAGGGCAACTAGTATTCAGCCACTGAGCCATCTCTCCAGCCCCTAGAGGATATGTCCTTTAAAAGCAGGGTGCCAATGAAAACTCACCATGAGATACTATTTCACACCCATGAGAGGATGGCGATAATAAATAAATTGCAGAATAACAAGTGTTGGCAAGAATATGGTGAGCACTCTGTATTGCTGGCAGGATTGTGAAATGGTGTGGCCAATGTGAAAAATGGGTTGGTGGCTCCTTAAGAAATCAAACACAGTATTACCAGATGATGAAGAAATTCCAACGCCTAGATGTTACCCAGGCCATCTCTACAGAGGTAATCACACAGGAGCTTGAACACAGATGTTCATAGCAACTTTGTTCATCATAGGCAAAAGTGGAAACCCTCCAAGCATCTATCAGTGGACAGTGAGTGTCTGTCAGCAGATGAGTACATAAACAAAATGTGGTTTATCCACACAATTACAGAACCTTAAGGTGAGATGAAGGGCTGGGGAGATGGCTTAGTAAGCTTTGCAGTGAAAGCTGGCTGACCAGGGTCACACCCCCAGAGCAAAGGTCAAAACAAAATAAACAAACAAACAGATGTGGTAGCTTATCTGGAATCCCAGCACTCCAATAGCAAGATGGGAGGAGAGCAGGGGAGACTGCCAGAAGCTCATAGGCCTAGAATCTGCCTTCAGGAAGCTTGCTGGCCAGCTAGCACAGAGTACCCAGCACAGGAACAACACAAGACCTGTTTCAAAAATGTGGAGCGAGAGAAACAACTCCCCAAAGTTATTTTCTTGACCATACATGCATCATGGCACATGTGTGCTCACTCATACACAAATGAAACAGACTAAAAATGAATGAAATGTTGATGCATACGTTATATATACACATCAGGTACACACATCCTTAACACACATGTCCCCTTATTGGCTCTCTGCCCAAAGCGCTCCCTCTTTGCTTGCTTCATGATCACAGAGTTGGTCCTTGTAAATCCCATTTTACGGTCATAATGTTACTTCTTGTGAATGGGAGATGCTATGTGAGATAAGACAACTAGTCACTCTCTGAGTCCTTCCTTTAATTAAGACAACTGAAAGTCAGAAGACTGCCCCAGTCACACAGTTATTATTGACAGCTGGAGCGGAAGCCTGGATCTCCTGATGGACCACTGTGTCACCCACTCTGAAGCATCCTTCCTAAGTGGCCTCCTCCCTCCACTCACTCCAAGATAAGGGGGCACACACTGGGATCCTTCGTTATAAGATGCAGTTTCTTTCCCCTTCCTCCCTCCAGCCTGTGATACACAGCTCACTTATTCCAGTTTCTGAACAATGTCTTACGTTCCCACAGTGGGCAACATGAATGTCTGCCTGTACTGAATTTTTGGGATGGGAGAGCTACGGGATGCTCTGTCCAACATCACAGTGCTCTCAGAACGTTTCTGCTCAATTTTACATCTATCCCCATGGAAAATGTACTGTTGCTAGCCTATGTGGGCTTGATACTGGCCTTATCTTTTAGAGAACAAGTTTGTTAGTATTTTATTTTACTTCACAATTTCCCTTTAAAATATTTTGTATTGGTATAAGTGGATCCATATACTCATGCAACATTGCATTACGTTTTTTTCCTTTTAAAGCATATTATGTGTATGGGTATTTGGCCTTCATGTTTGTCTGTACAACATGAGCATGCCGTGTCCGTAGAAGCCAGAAGAGTTATAGCCAGTTGTGAACCACTATGTGGGTGTTGGTAATCTAAGCTGGGTCTTCTAGGAGATAAGATATTGCTCTTAACTGCTAAGTCATCTCTCTAGCCTCAAGAGTACATATTTTCAACAAAGTATATGATGACCATTAGTCCTTCAGCATTATTACTTTTAGTTCCATATTTTTATCATCGTCGTTCATATTGTGATTTGCATTACATGGTTTGAAAAAATGATTGGGCTGGGAAATTCGGCTCAGTGGTAGAGCACTTGCCTAAAATCTCCCAGTGAGGGGCTGGGGTTTGGCTCGGTAGTAGAGCATCTGCCTAGAATCCCCCAGTGAGGGGCTGGGGTGTGGCTTGATGGTAGAGCACCATCCTAGAATCCCCCAGTGAGGGACTGGGGTGTGGCTCAGTGGTAGAGCACCTGCCTAGAATTCCCTAGTGAGGGAATGGGGGGGGGGTGACTCAGCAGTAGAGCACTTACCTAACATACAGGAAGGCCTGGGTTCTATCCCCAGCAATTAAGTATAAATAAAAGATTAAATTTTGCTCGTTGACATATGGTAAAGAGTTTTCCACCCGTCTTAAACAATGTTTCCTTGAGAAAATTCACAGTAAAGATACATATTGTCTCTTTGATACATATCTTTTAAAAAATATTATTATTATATAAGCTTTCTGCCCTCATTTCAAGCAAGGACTGCCTTTTCTGAAAGACCTGAGAGTCCCTTCTTTGCAATGTAAACCTCAATGAAAAGATGTGCCCATCTCACTGTCACCTGGGGAATTTAATCAAGCTATGAATCTATCTTGGACTCAATAACTGTAACACTCTACTGAGAGTCACAACACCTGAGTCCATTCAGGATTATTAGCACTAGCAGGCATGATTTTTCCTGTTTCGGCTGCTGGAGGCCATATATTACAACAACTGCCAAGTGCCAGGGCCACTGGTGGTTAAAGGCCACAATATTAAGTTTCTAGTTCCTAAAGCCCGACCCAAAAGACCTCTAGGTCAGGACTTGGAGCCAAAAGGCCTGCTGGTCCAGTCAGTAGACTATGGGCACACAAGAGGTTGGTATGTCTGCATGGGTTGAGCTTCTTCTTACACCTACTAGCTCCTATCTGAGCAGAGTAGAAGGATCTCAGCCTGCTGACTGGTGACCCTTGTTCTGTCTGTACATATTGAATTCTTTTCTTAATACAAAAATTATATAAGCTTGAAATGTCCTCATTGCAAGCAAGGAATTCCTTTTCTGAAAGACCAGAGTCCCCTCCTCTATGCAATGTAAACCCCGGGAAAGAGAGAGTTCCTATCTCCCTGTCACCTGTGGAGTTTGGCCCAGGCCCCTTGTTCAGAGATGTAACTACCTGCTTGTCACAGGGATGTGGGAGTTTTTGCTTCATGAGATAAGGACCAGCTCAGATGGACACCTCAGTTACCGGGTGACGTCAGGACAGACCTGGGAGAAGAGGCATCTAGCCTTGCAGTGCAGGTCTTCCAAGGAAGAGGAGTCACCCTTTCTCCTGAGAGAAACCCTGAAGGGCTTTTCAGTGATGCTTCTGTCTCCTGCTGGCTCCTTAATGGTTTACCTAAGACTGGTGTTTCAAGGTGGCTTGGTGCTTCTTCAATGATGAAACTCTATTACTTTCTGCATCAGCACAGACAACTTCCTGGGTTGGCAAATTTTGGTATTAATTTTGACGCCAACATCTTTATGAAAGATTAGGCCAAGAACACTGTTGCATTATTTCATCAAGAAATTGATGAATTGTTCATCATACTTTATCATTTTTGAAAGTTTGCCATCGTTGCCTGACTCCAGATATCATCTTTCAGAGGTTACATTATAGATAGCTATTTTCTTTCTGTGTGCTCTTTCTGGTTCTGTTTTTAAAGTTTCTATGCATTCATTAGTCGTGTGATCTAGAAAACCCACCATTTGTGTTTTCTCTTCCTTCTTTGTAAAGCATTGCTGGGTATTTCTTGCGCCTAGTATTTCAAGGAAGTTTGGTTAATTGGGAATGACACACAATTTCCTCTCTTTCTGCCAGAATCTTCTTTCTATTTTTATGAGTCCCAGGCCTAGAAAGGGTTTGGGACTTAAACCCGCAGGCCGTTTCTCCAGGCTCAAAGGGAGTGAGGACAAACGCGAAGGTGAGAGCATGCCTGGGGGCGGCCATCGCTCTCAGAGCGTGGCCTCCAAGCTGCTGGGAGGAGGTACACTCTTGCGCGATGGTCCCTAGATGCAGCGGCGCGAAGCCCTCTGGGAGATAGAGTTTCTGTGCGTCTCCGGGGGAGAAAGGAGGGCCTTGGAACTCAGACTTCCGGTAAGATGCTGCACATGCGCGTCTCCGCCTATGCGTGTGCTTGTGCGTGCGCACGGCCTCTGCGCAGCCCTGAATTCTTGCAGGTCCGGGCTTGCGGATACCTTCTCTCTCGCAGCTTTTGCGTCGGCTGAGTTAGATTCGCGGAGCCTGCGGGCGACCGAGTCCAGAGTTTCCCGGTCTGCAGCCGGAAAGCGCGGCCGTGCGGTCCGGGAAGGCCTAGCGGGAGCGCGGCGCAGAGGCTGAGGGCTGGGAGGACAGGGGCGGCGGGATCGCCTGCTCGGTGAGGCCCGTGGACGCTGATCGGGGCTGCGGAGGGGGAGACTGGGCCTGGCGGGTCGCTTGCCAAGGCCCTACCGATCTATGTCAACCTAGGCTCCCAGCTGTCTCCAGCGTGCGGAGCCCGGAAGGGTTGCGGTGGTCGGCTGACAGCAGGGTAGCGGCACGACTTTGGGATGCTTGTACAGTCCGAGGACGAGGTGCGCAGGCACTTCCAGATTCCCACGGTGTCAGTCAGCACTCATCAGCACCAGTGCTCTGTCTGCTGGTTCCTGCCTTTGTAGCACTTGACTACCCTTGTAGCATATAAAGGTGTAGTGCAGAAGTCTGCTTTTGCCTCTGCTCGTGGAGGAAGTCTCAGTGCGATGGTGTGTGACTTAACCAAAGCGAAGCAGGGGTTTGTGGATAAGAGTGGCATTGTTTTCCAGTTTCTCTGGTATTGCTTTTTGAAATGTGCAGCAGTAGCCAAGTTTAGTTGCACAGTTTGAAAACAAACCACGCCTTATTACTGTTAGTACGACGACTGTCCATCTGGACCATTTTTCTTTTTTACGTTTTTATTTTTTGAGACGTGGACTCCCTGTGTTGCCCAGGTTGTTCTGGTCCTCGGTGATCCTCCTGTCTCCAGAGAGCTGGGATTACGTGTATGTCATCTCGTGGGACATTAATCGCAAATGTATAGAGCTCAGATTCTTTAAAAACATGATGTATTTTCAACAATTTGAGTAGGAAATAGTAAAATACGTAGCCTTTTTGCACCTTTACATCTAATGCCCAGGGACTGGGGGGCGGGGGAGCATTGTTGAGTTCATCGTTGAAAGTATAGCCCAGCCAGCCCATGGTGGTGCACATCTTTAATCCCAGTTCTTGGGAGGCAGTGGCAGGCACATCTCTTAAGTTCGAAGCCAGCCTGGTCTACAGATCAAGTTCCAGAACAGCCAGGGCTATAGAGAGAAACTCTGCCTTGAAGAAAATGTAGCCCATCCAACTGCTACCTGTCGGAGTTATCGTTCTGTCACCCGTGTTACCTCTTCAAATTGTTTGTAGAGGTATGATTTCATTTGGTGGTTCCCAGACAAGAGATGAGACTCTGTGTAGACCAGTTAATGTCGATTTCAGTGACCTTTTCCTCCTATAGGTCCACCATCAGCAGTATCTGCACTTTCCCAAGAGCAGCAGAAAATGAGTAGATCAAAGGTGAGTTTTCCCATTTGTAAATATTCTTTTCTCCTTTGAAATATATTTTGGGAGACTGACAAAGGACTGTTCTTTAAAATGGTAGTGGAGAAATAAATAAAGGCAATTATCATATAAAATATAGCCTGAGGGGCAGATTGTCATGGTCTGTTGTATAGGCAGTGTGATAATCCTAGGCTAATGAAGTTACTTGACAGTATTAGAGAAAGAAAAATAGTATCCATTGCATCACCTGCGCTTCCTACTGGGAGATGCCATTTTTTGTTGCTTATGGAAAGTAAAGATTTCCAGCCAGGCAGTGATGGTGAATGCCTTTAGTCCTAGCACTCGGGAGGCAGAGGCAGGCGGATCTCTGTGAGTTCGAGACCAACCTGGTCTACAAGAGCTAGTTCCAGGACAGCCTCCAAGCCACAGAGAAACCCTGTCTCAAACACCCCCCCCCACACACACACACACAAAGAAGATTTCCTAGGACTTGGGAGTTTTTCTTTATTCAAGTTGGTATGATTGTGGATCACATTCCTGATAACAACTTTTCAGTCCTGTGTTCTCCTTGTCTGGTCTGTAAGCAGAGGCCCAGCTGCCCAAGAGCTTGTTGCTTAATATTTTTCCAGGGACCAGAATGTCATAAGCCAATGTGATATTTACTTTTTAAATCCAGACTATATGTTGTTATAGTTTGATCAATATCTTTTAATAATGGTTCTTGAGAATGCCTCATATGGTTTTAAATTTTTTCTGTCGCACCCCCCCACACACACACACACACCAAACTGGGTTGTTTATTTGTTGTTTCACAGTTTGGATTCTTGCCATTATCGTTTTACCTTTAAAGTAGTTTAGAAAATTCCTTGCATGCCTTGTAAAATTGATAGTTTGCTCAGAAAGATTAATCAGAGTATGCCCATTCGTTTTTGTTGTTGACATTTTGAGACAGGGCCTCGTGTAGCTCAGGTTGGCCTCCAGAATGCTAGTGTAGCCTGAGAATGACCTTGATTCTGATGAACTGCTTATCCTCCTGCCTCCACATCTAAGTGCTGGAATCGCAGGTGTACACCACCATACCTGGTTTGTCCATTCTTTGGGCAAGACCATTGTCTTTGTTACTTTTCTGTTTGCATGTTGCAAAGTTACCTTGACAAAAGCAACTTACATGTTTTGGTTGAGCTCACTGTTCTAGAGCTCACTGTTCCTCATGCAGGGGCAGGCAGCAGGAGTTTAATTTAAGGGGGCTGATAATTCTTGTGTGAAGTCAAAAGGGAAAGAGGAAAGCATGCTGCCGCGCAGCCCCTTTGTGTGTTTCAGTCATCCAGGACATCCACAGCATCTCTGCTGGGGACCGGTGACATCCACAGCAATAGCTCTTCCCACCTCAGCTAATGTAATCAAGACAATCCCAATAGGCCCATCTCCCAGGTGACTCTAGAGTCTATAAAATTGACAACACTGACATCAAAACTGTTGTACATGACATTTGTGTGTTTCCTTCTAGAAACGTCTGTTATGTTCCTGTCTCCGTTGATTGATTAGCAGCTATGCAGTGGTAGCTGTTGTCACAGTCTGCAAAGTTCTTAGGGAAGGCAGAATGGTAGCCCACTCGTGCCATTTCTTCTACATATATGAGCTAGAATACTTCTGTAAGAAGACAGACTAGAACTACTCGGTGGGCATCTGATCAGCATGTTTCATGTTTTTGTTATCCAGAGCCTACAGTTTTAAAAATGTTTTAAGTGTTTCAGCACATTGATGTGTGATTGACTTGATAGTTAAATCTTGAGTTTGGAGACCACATAATCTCTTTAAGTTGGTTTTTTGAGTTCTTTGCAAACACTTCTTGAATATTTGATAGTGTTTGTTTGTTTTTATTCAACATTTTATTTTGAAGTAATTTCAGAGAAAGAAACAAAAGAATTTTACAAAGAAATCTTGCATTCCTTTTGCTCTAAGGCACCAATTCTTTTTTTTTTAAGACAACTTTTTAAAAATTTATTTTTTATGTGCCTACATGTGTGTGTTTTTTTGGGGGGGCAGTATGTACCACATGCATGTAGGGGTCAGAGAACAACTTGCAGAAGTCAGTTTTCACCCTCCATATGGATTTTGGAGATGAACCCCAGATAGTCAGGCTGTGTAGCAAGTCCGTTTTACCCACTGAGCCATCTCACTAGGCCACCATGCCAGTGTTACTCAAGAGAGAGCCAGAATGGCTATACACTCTATAGCACCAGATGTAATAAAAACCACTTCACAATGACAAAGTGATTGCTTAATCTAGAGAATATTGCAAGTGCTTGAGGATTTTTGTTTGGTCTTTTTTTTAGGGGATCCAACTGGGAGAGTCTTATTCATAGAATCATAGAATCTTATCCTAGAGTTATGGAGTCATACATAGAATCAGAGTCTTATTCATGGAATTATGGAATCATGCATAGAATCAGAGCTTTATCCATGGAATCATAGAATCTTATCCATAGAATCATAGAATCATCCATAGAATCATCCATGGAATCATCCTTAGAATCAGAGTATTATACATAGAATCGTAGAGTTGTACCAGACTTTTTCTTTTGGACCACCAACCAGCTCCCAAATCTTTATTTTTTTTGGGGGGGGGTTGTTTTGAGGCAGGGTTTCTCTGTGGCTTTGGAGCCTGTCCTGGAACTAGCTCTGTAGCCCAGGCTGGTCTCAAACTCACAGAGATCCGCCTGCCTCTGCCTCCTGAGTGATGGGATTAAAGGCATGCGCCACCAATGCCCGGCCCCAGCTCCCAAATCTTGACACAGAGAATTAATATTCATTATGAGTTCTTGGCCTTAGCTTAGCTCTTACTTTAATCTGTTTCTCTTGGTTTATGTTTTGCCTCGGGGCTTTTTACCTTCCTTATTTATGTCCTACTCTGTCTGCTGGCTGGCACCTGCCTGCCTGGTCCCCGGTGTCTCGCTGTCTTTCTCAGTCATTCTCTCCTCCTCCTCCTCCTCCTCCTCCTCAAGCCTGGGTTTCTCCTGCTTACTCTCTCTGCTCACCAGCCTCTCCTATCCTGCTCCTGCCTAGCTATTGGCTGGTTAACTCTTTATTAGACCATTCAGGTTCCTTAGGCAGGCAAGGTGAAACAGCAACACATTTTTTCATAATTAAACAAATGCAGCAGAAACAAATGTAACACATCTTTACATAGCTAAATATTCCACAACATAGAGTCTCAGTCTTACAACTGTAGGCAGACCTAACAATCCTGAGCATTTACATGCCCAATAAAACACAGGAACCAGTGCCTAACAGAACTGTGGAGAGAGAGACTAAATGCAGCTCTCACTCGCCCTCACAGTCAGCACAGCACAGCAGAAAACTGCATGCAGATGGGAACTTGTGCATTAGAGGGTGCATCCTGTTCCTGTCACTGCTGAGCTTGGAAGTCCTCGTTTCTACATTTTGAATCATTTTTGGAAGGTTACAAAGAAAATCCCCTTTTATTTTTTCGTATTTGGCTTCACTTGTTTTTGCATTTAGAATCATGATCTAGTGGGTATTTATTTTGTGCTGGCCAAAGGCTTGGGGGTGGTTTTATCCTTGTTCAGTTTTCTTCTGCTCTTACAGCCTTGGGTCACTACAGTGAAATACCAGAGCCAGCAGACTTACAGAGAAAACTGTCGTTTTGCTCACAGTTTTGGAGATCCATGAGCCCAGCACTGACTGGTCAGTTCTAAGCTGTTTTACATCGTGGATCATGTTAGAAGGGTATCTGTGGCCAGATAGGGAAAAGGAGAGAGAGACTAGTTTCTACAGTTGTTATTTTGGTCACACCCCACCCCCAACAGTCTAAGGAACTGTATATGTTCTACCTATTGAAGAGTGAGTGTCACCCCCCTGGGACCAAGACTTTAATCATAATGGCCTGTTGTAGATCACTTAGAACACCCCCAAGCTACGGCACTGTTTATTACAAGTTAGTTACACAAAAGATATAGTTCGGTGGCAGTGCGTTTGCCTGGCACGTGCAAAGCCCTGGCTTTAATCCGAATTCTGCAAATCAATATCTATGGGTTGAGATGACATCCTCCTTATATAAAAATGAAACCCCACTTCCCACTTTCAAACTCTGTGCTGGCTCATTTTTGTTAACTTGATACAAACCAGCATTACCTGGGACTCCCCTCCACCAAATTGGCATGTGGGGTCGGTCATTTTCTAGATTAATTGATGTGGGAAGGTCCAGAAAACTGTAGACATGGATGCCTTTGGGCTGTATAATAAAGCATGTTGAGCAAGCCATGGAGAACAAGCCAGTAAGCAGCATACCCCCATGGCCTCTGCATCAGATTCCTGCCTTGAGTTGCCGCCTTGGTTTCTTTTGATGATGGCCTGTAACCACTAAGCCGAATAAACCCTTTCCTCTTCAGGTTGCTTTTGATCAGTGTTGTGTCACAGCTGCAGAGATGAAAACTAAGACATTTCTATTTTACTTCTCTTTGTGTTCAGTACCAAACTATTTAGATTTTTGATTCTGGGTATTGAACTTGGGGCCTCTGATATGCTAAGCACACACTCCATTGACTTACACCCCAGCACTGCCAAATGATTTAAATCATAAGAGTCTACATTTATTAATCTAGTAGTGTTATTACCCCAAGCAAATGCCCACCAGTACTGGGAGTTGAACCCAGAGCACACTGTACTAGGTCAGTACTCTTACCATTAAGCTATATCTGCACATGCATGCAAGCAGATACATACTTGTTGAAACAGAATCCTGCCAAATATCTCAGGTAGCCTTAGAACTCATGGTTTTCCTGCCTCAAGTTCCCAGGTGCCAGGATTACAGGTTTGTGTCGCCATGCCCAGCTTATTTTCTTATTTTGTGGAATAGAATTTTATTATGTAGCCCAGCCTTGCCTTGAAAGAGACCCTCCTGTCTCCATCTTCTAAGTGCTGGGATTACAGATGTGCACACCACTCCTGGCAGTGTGTGTTAATTTTTTATCCTGTTACTTTACAGTTATTTTGTAGAGTTGGTTTTCATTATCAGTTCTCTGAATTTTCATATCATCTGCAAACAGGAATAGGTTTTCCTGTCCCACATTACTCCTCTAAAGATAAATATGACCATTTGGGGAAGCAAAGGGTTTTCTTTTTAGCTGTGCTACAATAATGTGCTGCACTTGTGCTTCACTTGAGGGTTTAGAACCAATCCAACTGTTTAGTCTCTTAAATTCTAAATAGTTTCCAACACCCATTCCTTATCAATGCAATCGTATCTTATGGAAGCAGTATCTTAATTTATTAGAAAACAAGATAAGATGGCTGGAGAGATGGCTCAGCCGTTGAAGGCTAGGCTCACAACCAAAAATATAAGAGAAAACAAGATAGGAATCAGGTCAGCACAGTGGCCCAGCAGATAAAAATGCTTGCCACAAATGCCTAAGGACATGAGTTTGATCTTCAGAACCCATATTAAGGTGGAAGAAAAGAACATACTTCAGGCCAGGCAGTGATGGCGCATGCCTTTAGTCCCAGCACTCAGGAGGCAGAGGCAGGTGGATCTCTGTGAGTTCGAGTCCAGCCTGGTCTACAAGAGCTAGTTCCAGGTCAGGCTCCAAAGCTACACAAAGAAACCCTGTCTTGAAAAAACAAACAAACAAAACAAAAACAAAAGAACATACTTCACAATGTTCTCCACTGGCTTTCACACATGTGCCCTGGCTTAAGTGTACACACATACTTTTTAAATATAAATTAATAGGTAAAATTTAATTTCTCTGAGCTGGAGAGATGTCTCAGTGGTTAAGAGCATTTGCTATTCTTCAGCGGACCCGGGTTCAAGCACCTGCATGGCAGTTTATAACTTTCTGTGACTCCAGTTCCAGGAGATTTGTCTGGTTTCTGTGGGCTCTAGGCATGCATATGGTGTGCAGACATACATGCCAGCAAAACACCCATACATATACAGAAACTAAATTCTTTTTTATGTATAAATTTAGTTTTGTTAGTGTTGAATTGTTCATCTTGATGCCATTTGTTTATACTATTTTCCTTAGCTGATGATACTTTGATTTGGTTTGGGTTTTTTCCCAGACAGGGTTTCTTTATGTAGCTTCAGCATTCCTGGAACTAGTTCTGTAGACCAGGCTAGCCTTGAATTCACAGAGATTCCTCCAGCCTCTGCCTCCCAAATGCTGAGATTAAAGACGTGCACCACCACTGCCCAGCTAGCTGATGATTCTTTGTATTCTATTTGAATTTGTGGGGAATTTTTTCTTTGCGGTACTAGAAATTGATTCTAGATTGCCATTCTAGGCAAGGAAAGAGAAATTATTAACAGCTAATTCAATGGATTCCAGTGCTACCAGCTTGCCTCACCTCTTCTTTACAGGGGTGATGGCTGCAGAGTCTGGAAGTAAATAGGGTACATGACAGCTTAGTTACCTTTCCTGCTGCTGTGACAAGGCTGGAGAGATGGCTCAGCAGTTGACACTGGCTGCTCTTCCAGAGGTTCCAGGGTTGATCCCAGCACCCGATGGTGGCTCATAACCACCTGTAACCCCAGTTCCAGGCAATCCAATATCCTCTTCTGGCCACAGGCACTGTGCATATGTGCACATACATACATGGAAAACATTCATACACATAAAATTATGGCATCTTTAAAAATTACTCTGATGAGAGCCAGGCGTTGGTGGCACACGCCTTTAATCCCAGCACTCGGGAGGCAGAGACAGGTGAATCTCTGTGAGTTCGAGGCCAGCCCAGTCTCCAGAGTGAGTTCCAGGATAGGCTCCAAAGCTACACAGAAAAACCCTGTCTCGAAACCCCCCCAAAAATAATTACTCTGATGAATATAGATTAAGAAAGACAGGGCTTATTTTGGCTCACAGTCCATCCCAGCAGGGAGGTCAGCAGCAGATGCATGAGGCAGCTGGTCACATTGTACCTACCTTCGAAAAACAGGAAGCCATGAATGCTTGTTCTTAGACCACTTTCTTCTACTCGTACAGTTCAAGATCTAAGACAAGGGAATGAAGCTACACGTGGTGGGCAGGCCTTCCAGCCTCATTTAACCTAACCAAGATAACCCTCCATAAGAATGGCTAGACGCCTGTCTTCCTAGTGATTTGGGATCTCAAGTTGATCACTGAGATTAACTCAGTGGGCATTGGGTCATTTTTTACAGGTGGTGGATTCACAGAGGGGATTAATTTGTCCAAATTCGCACTGAAATGGTTTTCTAGAAGTTTTCGTTTAGAGAAACGAAAAGCCTGTCCACTGTGGATAGAGTTGAATTGATGCCCTTTTTTGTCTGATATAGTCTTAGATTGGGTCTGTATTCCTGATAATCCCATACAGATAGATTATCATTTATCTTGCATAGAAATTTTCTCTTTGAACAGAGCATGTGTGATTATATAGTGTTGGAGGTCTGAAATCTGTGTCTTCTCCTGTCTCTGGCAGCAATGCCAAAACCACCAACTTCTACTCAGAATCAGCAGTCACCTGACTGTCCTGTCTGTCCTGTCCCTGAAGCCTTTCTCAGATGGTTCTAGATTATGTCAAGTTGATAGAGAACTTGTTACATTAGAATTTTGTTTTTACTTTTGTTTCCCAAGACAACATATTTGCAATATGGTTTGTTTTCCTTCCAGGCTCTGTAACATTGAGGTATAGAATGTTCATGGTTAACTGTACCAGTTGCTTGGGAAAAGCTTGTTCTCCCTGTGCCTTTTATATATCTCCTAATTCTGATCACAATGCCGTTTCAGGGCCCACTGTCATTCAAGGATGTGGCTGTGGCCTTCACCCAGGAGGAGTGGCGGCAGCTGGGCTCTGAGGAGAAGACGACATACAGGGATGTGATGCTGGAGAACTACAGCAACCTCATCTCCGTGGGTGAGGACCAGTTGCCTTCTCGATACTATGAGTTCAGTGATTTGTCTCTATTGTAAAGGAACAAGTGCTCCTTAGTCCTTCGCGGTAGACATGAGGTCTGTCTTTACTGCTCCATTGGAAGAGCTTACTTTTTTTTCCCCTAGTGGTACTGGATATTGAACTCAAAGCTCCTATATGTTAGGCAAAAAGGAGCCTCTGCCTCTCAGTTACAGCCCTATTCACAAAAGGTAAAAAATGGGAAAAGTGTTATGTAACTTGTGGCTCGGCTCCTGTACCACAGTGATTCTACAGCCAAACAATTAATCCCAACCCTTCTCATTTTCTTGTTAACAGGGTATGACGTTACCAAGCCAAATGTGATTATTAAGTTGGAGCAAGGAGAAGAACCGTGGATGATGGAAGGGGACTGCCATGCTCAAAGTCATTTGGGTAAGTGAATGGAGGGTGAAATTTTAAAAGGTGGTCACTCCAATTAATATTGTAGGGGAAGCCTTTGAAATTTGATGCTTTATATCAGGTGAGATCCAGAAATATGGGGATTTATTTACATCCAGAATTAAGAGAAAATATGATGGGGTCATAACTGGTGTGGGGAAATTTAAGTTATGACATTGAAAGGAAATTAAAGGCTGAATGTAATGAGCATTTACTTTGTATCACAAACTGTCTAAGCCATGGTTGTGGGATTCTCTTTAAATGGGAAGAAAATGGAACTTTCAGAATGTTTTTACTTATGTGCCAGCTATAAAGGCAAAGACTTTACTGGGCATAGTGGCTCAGGTCTGTAGTCTCAGAACTCCGGGGAAGGCAGGAAAGTTGCTGAAAGCTTAAGGCTGGCCTGAGCTAAGTAAAAAGACACTATTTCAAACAAAAACAAAAGCAAAGATTTCAGAAATGTCTAAGGGGCAATCTTCTGTGTGGTGATGCATTGCCATTGGTGTTAATGTAGAAGTGTCTGGGGTGACGGTCTCCTGTGTGGCTGATGTATTGCCATTTGATATAAATGAGAATCTGTTTCTCCCAAACACAAGCCATGTTGAAACATTTCTTTTTCATATATGCCCAATAATTATTATTTTCCCTGCTTCCCTTTGCTATGAGTCCTCCCATTCTAAGTCTAACACCTTTTCAGTAACTGCGCTTTCTGCTGTCATTTCTTAGGTGATTTGTAAAATAACTAAGGTGCTTGTTTTCAGTGTAAATTTACTCTCTTCCCACTTATTCCTCTACACACACACATACACACATATATATTACATATTATAAATCAAAGGAAAAGGACACCTATATACTCAATAGATTATCTAAATGACATTTAGGTACCATCCCCTTCTGTAGCTTGTATATTCGTATTGACAACATTTGTTCAATCTTAACTCCTTTTCAGAAATCAGCAAAGTTGGTGATACCATAGAGAAAATCCAAGAAAATGAAGACAAACATACGAGGCAGGCTGATGATCTCAACAACCAAAGAGCAGAGAAAGGGGATACATCTGATAAAATTTATGACCTAGAACCACACCTCATTTCTTCAAGCACAAGAGCTCACAGTTGTGTCTCCTGTGGGAAGACTTTGGAATCTATTTCAGCATTAATTAGTAGTGATGGAAGGTATGCAGTAGAGAAGCCCAACAAGTGTATTGATTGTGGAAAAACATACAGAGAGAAACTGGATGACTTTAATCAAAATGGGGATACTTCTCAACATGATGAAAGTATTCTGCAGAAAATTACCATTTTGGAGAAACCCTTTGATTATGAGTGCATGGAAGCCTTAGACAGTGAATCTGTTTTCATGGCTCATGAGAGAACTTATCTGGGGGAGAAGCCCTATGAATGGGATGACTCTGGACCAGACTTCATCCAGATGTCAGATTTCAATGCATATCAGAGATCACAGCTAGAAATGAAGCCCTTCGAATGTACACAGTGTGGGAAATCCTTCTGTAAAAAGTCTAAATTCATCATACATCAGAGAGCTCACACAGGAGAGAAACCATATGCATGTAATGTGTGTGGAAAGTCTTTTAGTCAAAAGGGAACCCTCACTGTCCATCGGAGATCACATTTAGAGGAGAAACCCTATAAGTGTAATGAATGTGGGAAAACCTTCTGTCAGAAGTTACATCTCACACAACATCTGAGAACTCATTCAGGAGAAAAGCCCTATGAATGTAGTGAGTGTGGAAAAACTTTCTGCCAAAAGACACACCTCACTCTACACCAGAGAAATCATTCCGGGGAGAGGCCCTACCCATGTAATGAATGTGGGAAATCCTTCTCCCGAAAGTCTGCCCTCAACGACCATCAGAGAACACACACAGGAGAGAAGCTTTATAAGTGTAATGAGTGTGGGAAATCCTATTACCGGAAGTCCACTCTCATTACACACCAGAGAACACACACGGGGGAGAAGCCCTATCAGTGTAGTGAGTGTGGGAAATTCTTCTCTCGGGTATCATACCTCACCATACACTATAGGAGCCATTTAGAAGAGAAACCATATGAGTGTACAGAATGTGGGAAAACCTTCAATCTAAACTCAGCTTTCATTAGGCATCGGAAGGTACATACAGAAGAGAGAGTCCATGAGTGTAGTGAATGTGGTAAGTTCTCTCAGCTGCAATGTCTTCCTGATCACACAAATGACACAGGAGAGAAACACTATGAGTGTAACGAGTGTGGGAAAACCTTCCTTGAAAATTCAGCCTTCAGTGGGCACCAGTCCATTCCAGAAGGGGAAAAAACTTATGACTGTAATATATGTGGAAAGTCATTCTCAGATTTGTCATACTACACTGTACATTACAGAGGTCATTCAGAAGACAAACCCTTTGGGTGCAATGAATGTGGGAAAACCTTCTCTCATAATTCATCCCTCTTTAGACATCAAAGAGTACACACAGGTGAGAAGCCGTATGAATGTTATGAATGTGGAAAGTTTTTCTCTCAGAAGTCGTATCTCACTATTCATCACCGGATTCATTCAGGAGAGAAGCCCTATGAATGTAGCAAGTGTGGGAAAGTCTTCTCTCGGATGTCAAACCTCACTGTACACTATAGAAGCCATTCAGGAGAGAAACCTTATGAATGTAATGAATGTGGGAAAGTCTTTTCTCAGAAATCATACCTCACTGTACATTACCGGACTCATTCAGGAGAGAAACCTTATGAATGTAATGAATGCGGGAAAAAGTTCCATCACAGATCGGCCTTCAATAGCCATCAGAGAATTCATAAAAGAGGGAATGTAAATGTACTCAATGTGGAAAGTCTCTGACATCTCAATTAAACATTGGAAGTCTATTAGGGAGTCGGGGTGGATCCCCTCCCCAATTTTTATATTTGTGGTGCTGGGAATTGAATACAGGGCCTTTTGCATGCTATAGATGCTCTACACGGAGCTCCACCCCAATGATTCACAAGTAGAGCGTCCATGCTCTGAATGAGAAGTCCAGAAATGCATTTTAAACTGAATTTTCAGAGAAGAATCCGTAAAAATCCAGCAAGAAGAAACCATGACCATGTAACTCACGGGACACTACGTAATTTTTACAGGAGCAAAACTTTCAAAGTATTTAATATTTATTTTTGATTTAAATTGTATTTACCTATCAGGGAGCCTTGCTAAGAAATGTCAATAAGGTGACTATGTAACACACTTTGGAAGCTTATGCTAAAAGCCATATTCCTGATGTAAAAACAGGTGTTTATAGAAAATACGCAAGAAGTTACCTGTTCTGAATAAATTTATGAAAGGAAGTTATAAAGTTGGGAGTTGATCATAAGGGTTACTAAATATGTGGCTTCTCTGGTGTTTTAGAAATGCAATTTAATAGTAATTCTATGCAATTTTTGGCAACCGTGCTTTGAATAATTTGTGAAAACATGGTATTGAGTATTGGAATGACAAAGTGTCACAATGGGTATATTGGTGAAATGTGTTTTATAATAGGAAAGTGCATAATTTTTTTGTGAATGCTTACCAGTAGGGTGGTTTTGTAAAAATTTTTCAACTGGAATTGAACATAATTTTTTAAAAAATACTATTTTGATAAACTTTGCTGTCTTAGTCAGTGTAATATTTCTGCGAAGAGACACCATAGCCACTCAAATCTTTTAATTTTTTTATTAATTAAATTTATTCATTTTCCCTCCCTCTCCTTCTGCTCCCTCCCCAATTTCTCTTCACCCCTCCCCAATCCAGGACCATGGCAGTTCTTATAAAGGAAGACATTTAATTAGAGCTGCTTACAGTTAAGAGGTTTAGTCCATTTTTGTCATGGTGGGAAGCATGGTGGCAGTCAGGCAGACATTGTGCTGGAGAAATAGCTGAGAGTTCAACATCTGTATCTGCAGGCAGCAGAAAGAGAGAGAGACACTGGCTCGAGCATTTGAAACTCCAAAGCCTACCCCCCCACACACACACACAGAGTGATACACTTCTTCCGGCAAGGAAGGGCACACGTACCTCAACAAGGTCACACCTAGTGCTACTCCCTAATGACCAAGATTCAAATAAATGAACCTATGGGGGCCAGTCCTATTCAAACCACCACATATGCAAACATAATGTAGGGTTGCTTACATCCATTTCACTAAAAGACTGTTGTGTGGTATAAATATGGCGTCATTTTTGTTTATTGTCCCCTATTCCCAGTGCTTTAGAACAAAGAATACTTTAGCAGTCATTTAGTTTGGGTTAGACTAAAGTTGAATTTGTGTTTAGCTATTAAGAAGTGGTGTGGGGATGGGGGCTGGAGTGATTGCTCATTCCTGAAGAGTACTTAGTTCTCTTGAAGGGGGGCTGATTTGGGAATCCACAACCACCTGTAGCTCCAGTTCCAGACCCAACACCTCTGGTCTCTGCATTCACTTGCACATACACGTAGAAACAATTTTAAATGAGTTTAAAGTGGGTAGGAGGGGCTGGAAGGATGGCTCAGCAGTTAAGAGCACTTGCTTCTCTTGCAGAGGACCCGAGTTAAGTTCTCAGTACCCATAATGGGTGCCTCACAATCATCTTTAACTCTTCTCCTAGGGCTCTCACGCCCTCTTCTGGCCCCCATGGGCACCTGTATTCATATGTGCAGAACACACATAAAGTTAAGAATTAACCTTTTGTAAGTGATTAGTAAAACAGGTTGACTGTTCTTGCAGTTCATACAGTAAGGAAAAGGTATTGGTAAGCTTATTCAGTAAAGAGCCAGTGAGTAAACCCTGTAGCTTTTGTCCCTTCACAGCTGCCTGACTTTCCTTGTGTACTAGCAGGCAACCCCATATAGTACCCAGACAACGATGCATGGCTATTTCCCATTGAGCCTTCATTTACAAGCATTGCGGCAGTCCGAATCTGGCCTTGGAGCACCTGGTTTTCTGGTGTTTTATCTGGAATATATAAAGTATGCCCCCTAATCAGTAAGTGGAGAACATGAGCAAAAGACATGGCTGTCCACATCGATTAAGAAAAAAAAAGCCTATATAGCAATACATATGTAAAAAGCTGTTTTAGCTTATTAATAATCAAGGGAATATAGGCTAAAAACCCAAACACTGAGGGCTGTGAAATGGCTACATAAGTCCTATGACCCGGAACTTATGGTGGAAGGAAGAAAACCAACTCTTGATAGATGCCCTCTGAGCCACACACACTGTATGGCACATGCATGCCCACACACATACATCATGCACAGTAATTTTTAAAGCTTGTTCACTGAAATAGTTAGAATGGAAAGCACAAAAAAATCAGGTATTGCAAGAATGTACCCAACAAAAACATTTTAAAAAGGTGTGTGTGTGTGTGTGTGTGTGTGTGTGCAGGTGCCTTTGGAGACCAGAAAAGGGTATTGAATCCCCTGGAACTGGAATTACCGGCAGTTGTTAGCACTCCATCCTTTCCAAATGCTATCAATTACCTAGCCATCCCTCCAGCCCTGTGGCAGGAACTTGTGCATTAGTGGGCAATTGATAATACGCTTTGCAAAACTGACCCTTTAAGCATGTGTATACCCTTTTACTCAAAGCAGGAAGAAACACGCGGGTGCACACACACACACACACACACACACACACACACACACACAGAGAGAGAGAGAGAGAGAGAGAGAGAGAGAGAGAGAGAGAGAGAATACACAGAGGCACACACTAATGCACTAGAGATACATATAATGTGAAACTTCAAAAAAAAAAAAATCTCAGAACTCTCAAGGCTCGCATATGTAGTAAAAGGGGTGTGTTTCCACTGTGGAATCTGGTTGGACAGTGGGAGGGGATGATGTTGAAGTCTGAGGAGTCACATAACTGAGTAAAGACGCCCAGACACAGGTCTGCACACGGTATGATTCCATGTGAAGGTTAAACACAGGCAAAAACGTCCGTGCGGTCAATCAGCACACCACTTAGGTTTAGCTGAGGCTTGCAGAGGTTACATGTCAGGTTCCTGCCATTGCCTGTTTTTAAATCTGGTACTGAATACCCCGGTGTGTTCTGCACTGTGTATTTCTGTGCATGTATGTGACCCTTTGATAGATGATTTTAAAATTCACAACTAGCTAGCACTTGTTAGCATGCCATACTTTTATGTTGTCTAGCAATGCACTGTGTGTCAGAGTGTCTAGTTTGTATAACTCTGTGCAGGACTCCTTCATGGTCACTTTAGCTTCAGTGGCATCTAATATGATTTCTTGCACCATGCCCTTGAAGCTTACCACTATGGTATATTTTAAAAGAGAGGAAAAAAAAAGCCAGTAGTACATCTTTTTTACAGATACAACTGTATTTGGTACTTTTTTTTTTTTTTTTTGAAATGGGGTCTCACTATGTAGCCCTGGCTGTCCTAGAATTCACTATGAAGACCAGGCTGACCTCAAACTCACAGAGATCATCCTGCCTCTGTTTCCAAAGTTCTGGGATTAAAAGTGTGTGCCACCACACCAGCTCATATTTATTATTACATTTATTGTGTGTATATATGGCATGTGTGTTTGTGTGTCTGTGTGAATCACTTTTCATGTTTACAAACTTTGAAAACTTCATATTCTTAAATTTTAAGGTTTCTATTCCTTTGGGGTAAATATAAAATGTTCTTGATTTGATGAAGAATCACATTTAAGAAATGTCCAGGAGGTATTCGAGATGGCTCAGCCAGTAAAGGCACCAGTTGCCCAATCTAATAACCTGAACTCAATCCCTGGGACTCCTGACAGGGTGGAAGGAGAGAACCAGCCCCCGAAAACTGTCTTCTGACCACCACTCATGCTCATGACACCCGCATGCCCCCCATTAAATTGTATTTTAACGGTTCTCACACAACCAGTGTGGTCCCACAGCTGTCTGTGATCCCAGCATTGAACTGGGTGGAGACTGGAGGATGGCTGGGGCTTGCTGGCTGCCTGTTCAGCTGAAAAGTTTGAACTCCAAAGGAATTGGTGGAGTGTAATAGAGAACGATATCTGAATCCGCCCTCTGGCCACTTCATGAACACATAGAGGATGAAGGAAGAAAGAAGGGCGGAGAATGAAAAGGAACAAGGGACCGTGGGCCACTAGAGTTCTGGCAATGGTGCTGGTGGGTCCTGGTCTGCAAAGGACCAACGAGCAAAGTCAAGCCCATATCCAGGACAGCGCTCAGCAAAAAGCTGAGCAGCTCTGCCAAGATGTATTTCTCAGCGGGGGAGGGGGGATGGCCAAGTCTTAAGGGCATGCCCATTGTATAAGGGAGCAGTTCTGAGTGGGTGTGCATGGCTTGGGCTGAAGGGTGTGGTCAGAGTGGGCGGGCTCAGTTCAGGCTTAAGGGGCGTGGCTCTGGGTGAGGGGTGTGGCCAGGACTTGTGAGCTGGCTCGCGGAGTCCAGTAGTTCCAGAGCCACTCTGGGCCACAACTGACTGCACCTGACAGTTCTTGGAGAACTGGAGACCGTTGACCAGGCTGAGGGCTGACACAGGGCACCTCGGAAGTGAGAAGGCGGGCCTTGACGTGCAGAAAAGGGAGGGAACGGAGGACAGCTGGGCAGGGGGGGAGGGCCTCTGATCGATAGCCCATCCTTTCACAGCGCCCTGTCCCTGCGAAATGTGGCCATCACTGGTGTTGCTGTTTCTGCTGCTTCCTGCTGCCCATGGCGCCCCTCACCCGGCTGCCGACCTCCAGGAAAGCTTTCCAAGCGTACTCGAAGGTTGTCACCGCCCTGTAGTGGGTTGGTGGGTGTGGGAAGAGAGGAATGTGGGGACCTGCAGAAAGGGGACTAGACAGAGACCGATACAGGGACAGAATAATGACAAGGATCAGAGAATTGGGTGGGTGGTAGAAAGGAAGCTAGTTTGATAGGCGTGGTCTAGTTCTGAATGCCCAATGGTCCCCTTTGGACCCCCAAGAGGCCCGCTATGCAAAGAGGACAGTTAATCTCCCAAGGACTTTAGTGCCTCCCTAGGCATGGATGGCCACGGCACGGGGGCCCTAGCTGGGGAACTGCCCCCGTTCCTTGACAGCATCACGAAGCTAAACTTGTCACTCTTCATCAGAAATCCAAACTGAAGGAGACAGAGGCCTGTGGAGGGAAGACAACCCGTTTGCTGGCCCGCGCTGTCCTCCTAGCTCATGAGGTGGCTGCTGTGTGGTCCAGAAGCTGGGGCCAAGGACCTGTGGCCTCATGAGGGCCTAGCAGGCACAGGATTTGGGGCTCCCCACTCCTGCTCCCAAGACCCACTTCTTGTCCCCCTCCGGGGCCCTTGAGCTGCTGTTGTAGGGGCTGGGGGTGAACACCAGTATCTTAACAGGGGCAGATGTGGACCTCACCAGACCCATCTGCAGCACCATTTAAAAATAAAAGTTATTTCTTCAAGCTAGTAGTGCTCTTTCCTTTTGAGACCAGCCTCCAGCTCCTGGCCAACCAGTTTCTCCCAACTTTGGACCTGACAACCCCAGCCCCAAACAGTACCAGGCCCACCTGTGCATTTGGTCTTTGACTCTGCTGTCTCTGACCACTGCAGCTGGTGATTAGCCTTTCCCCACAGTGGGAGGCTCGGCTTTTCCTAAGCTGAGGAAGAGGGTGCTGAGTTAGATAATTTCT